AAAATCTGTTGACATTTATGGTGTAACATCTGTTCTACTAAGAGACAATTAAAGTGTGACGAAAGTGCGTATGTTAAAAATCCCAGCCTATGGTTTTCTTCCAAAGTGGCATCGAGCTATAGCTGCAAGATGCTGGAAATCTGTTTATGTAAGCTGCTCTTCAAACCCTTTAGAGACTGCGGTTCCACAGCCCTCTGAGGCAAGCCATTCCAGGGGCTGGTACGCTTGATAAAGAAGAAGAAACACTGGAATGAGCTTTGCATGGAAGCATTCATAGAAGAATTCATTAAATGAGGTCTAGGGCTCGTTGCAGCCCGCATTTGGGCAATGACTGTTAGCAATGTAGTGTCAAGATGCAGAAGGCAGTTTGTGTACCACAACAGAAATCCTTCTGCGGCTTGGTGTACGCTAATTTATCTTCTTTCGCAGCAGCTAGTTCACTTGATCTCTAGGCATTCAGGGTGTTATAATGAAGCTGTCAGTACCTTTTTGTTACGATTTCTGGTCTGTGGTGCTCAGGATCTTCATTCTCCCAAGTTGCTACATTTTCTTTTTCTGTGAATGTTAAAATTCAGTATAAATTATTTCATGTGCTCTGCAGTGGATTGTGCTGCTGGATGACTCCAGCTGCAGAGCATCTGGACTGTAATTGTTTCCCCGGGCCTCTCATTTGTAGTGAGCTCCTTAACAGTGCTGGCAGAGCGCACAGGGCTGCATGGGTTCCTGCCGGGCAAGCTGGTTGTATGAAGCTCAGTTCCAGCAGTGCTCTCCTTTCCAGGCAAAACTGCTTTACAATTCACTTCTGCATCTGAACTAGGTGGTAGGCTTAATATTTAATACCTTTTCTGCTTTGGTATATGAGGAATAGAACGCTGAAGTAGCTGAGCTTAGTTAAGGCAACTAGCCTCCGTGAATTTCGGTCTCCTGTGGAGGGGTGAGATACTCTGTATGTCAAGTCCTGAACTTCAGAGCTTGCTTCTGTTGCGTTGTTTCATTACCGACACTTGACACAGGAACTGCAGAGGTTTTGAGGAGCTCATTTATGTGATGATATCAGCTTAGAGGATCTTTTTTAATAGTAATATGATTGCACAGAGGTATTCAAGTATATGTTTTGAATAAGACTATTTTTTAGGGATACTTGCACTTTAAGACTTTTGTACCGGCCCTGTTTTATTGTGGGGGGAAAAATGGATCAGTGCTCAGTGTTTTGTACCCTTCCAATAGGTAATGAATATTCGAAAAGTTCTAAATCGACTGGATAAACCAGAGGGCCTTTACCCCAACTATCTGAATCCCAGCAGTGGCCAATGGGGCCAGCGTAAGTAGATCACTTCTTTGGTGCTATGACCTGCCTATCAGTGTGCTGTTCGCAGTCATTAGCGTCTTTCAATCGCTGTTATGTGTTTTTTGTATATATATAAAGAACTTTTATAAAGTATAAAAACTCACGTTATATCTGAGGTTCTGTACAATGTAAAAAATACTACAAATATAAAAATAATAATCCTACTTGCTGTATTTTAATGTACTTTTCTTTGATCTTTCAGTATGACTTGTGCAAGCAGGGAAATGTCTGAATATGTATCATTTTGGAAAGGAATTTGTAGACCACAGAAGTCTTTTATTCAAAAATCTAAAGTGCTCTCTAAAGTAGCTGTTTAAGGAAACATTATCAGTTCATCTGAGTCAAATTCCATATTTTTAGAGTGGTGTGGCTCCACTGAAGAAAAAAAAAAAGTAAAGCAAGTCTTTCCAGTTAATACCAGCTGTGACTTCTGTTGAAGTTTAATGCCAACAACTGAGGAAACAAACTGAACAGAACTGTGTCATGGCATTAATCCCCTTGGAAAAAAATAATAAAATGCTTGAAGTAATTGAACTTCTTAGCCCCTTCCCGATGACTGAGCCTTTTCTTGTTGTACATTGCCTTCTCCGATCTTCGTAACATGTTCAAAGCCTACGTAGTGTGCAGGATCACGATTCTAGAGGCCCTACTTCTTCTTCCACTTTTCCTACTTAGGTTCAGTCTACCACCATCCCATTCATGTGTTTCCATGTTCTCGTATTTTTTCCTCCCTCTATTATTGAAAGAAAACAAGCAAGATATGCTGTCTTGGTCTGAAAAGGCACGGGCAGATGAGATGGTCCTATAGATTATCAGTGTTGGAGCTGGCTAGACAATACAAGAGAGGGAAAGGACTGGAGAAGTTTTTGAATATCATAGTTTGTTTAGGATGCAGCTAAGGTGGAAGTGAGGTTCTGGAGTCCTTATGGGACTGGCCACAGTCTGGATAGATAAGATAATTTTTGCAAAGGCAAAGAACGAGTGTTTTATTGAATAAACTATATTTTTGAATGCTTTGTGTCACTGTCTGAATTAAAAAGATATCCAAAAACATTGTGCTGCTCAGTTGTATTGTCCCATCAAGGCAAAGGCCGTTTCCCTTTATGAATTAGAAGTATGCCAGTCATTTTAGAAAGCCTTCTAGTCTGCTACGCTGCGAGGCTTCCTTCAGGTCACCGTGCCACAAGGCCTGTGGCAGCTCAGCATGCATAACCATCGACTCTGGTTGGCATGTTGGTATAAACTCTGACATCCATTTACAGATCTGAGAGGTGTGTGCCCACTTGTTACCCATGTTGGGTTAGCACAGCTTTGTAAAACACTAAAACCTCCCACTGGAAGTGTTCATCCTACAGCAAGAGGCACTGGGTTTGGTTAGAAGGCTACCTCAGCATCTGTGAGCCAGGTCCGGTTACCTCCTTCCTCGGCTTCAGTCAGCCACAGAAACTCAGCTTTTTGGTGAGCTGCATGAGAGCAGATCTTTTTAGTAGCTGACACCGTTAGTGTCTCTGCCTTATTTATTTTAAAGCAGTCAAATACTTACTCTGCCTCATGGCCTTTGCCATTTCCCTATTTTTAATATAATTGTGTCTTAACGTACTCCTCGTTCACATTAAATGCCAGTTTTTGTTGGTGTGCACAGGAAAACTTACAGTTTATACCAGCTTTGTTTTCCAATAGCATGTAGTATTGACAAAGAAATAGCTTCCTGCACGTGCAAATGATAGACAGAGATGTTGATGCAGGTCAGCCCCTAGCATGCAGCAAAAGCAAATTCGATCTTGTTGCATCTCTTCCAATTCAGTTGCCTCCGTTCACAGACACTGATGTATTAATTTTTTTTCCCATAGTAGAAGATCAGAATGTAAGACTTGAGAGGTGTTTTATTTGAGATTGCTTTTCTAGGCTGTTTTCAGTTGATTACAACAGGAAAAAAAACAACCAACTTAGACTCTTAATTGGTATAAAACAGAAGTATTATCTCTCAAACATCAAGTGGCGAGGGAGGAATAGTTTCTGAACATTTCTTCTCTGGCAATGCTGTAACTGTGAAGGACACTGCTGGATCACTGCCATTGTTCCTGTAAATTCATTTAGCCCTTGTTATTTTGACAGTAAACTGACAGTGATTTGCTGCAGCGTGCGTCAATTGGATTTGTCTACTGCAATAATGTATATAATAACAGGGCTTATTATTGATGAAACTGTGCTTGTGCTATTTAGTTTGCAAATGTCAGAGGTTTCTATGGTAATTTATTTAGGAAACCGTAAAGGTCATTTAAATGCTGCTGTTCAAAGATCAGCCTTTGATCATAGAAAATGTTCTCTTTTTTTTTTAAGAAGCTTCTTTTCCTTTTGGGTCATGAACATTTAATTAAATAAATGGTGTATTCTTTCCAGAAATTTAATATATCTCATTCGGGGGGGGGGAGCCATTTATAAACCAGGTTTGATGGTACAATGTATTTGTTAGGCAAAGGGACAGGATACGTTTGGAAAACTAGATTATTTTTTGTATGTCACAGGCTAGTGGAGGAAAAAGACACTTTATTAAAGTTTGAATAGAAAAAAGTGTATCTTCTACATTTGCATGGCTTTGCAGCCTATTCAGAAGGTGAAAGGAGGCATTCCATGAAGAGAAGATACTAGGGAGTTTAAAAATAAGTTCTCTGTGTTCTTTTGAATTCCACCAACAGAGGCATAACTTTGAAGCTAGGATCAGAGTTAGGTGTTGGGAAGTGTGAGCTCTGTACCACTAACCCTTCTGCATTTTGCTTTATGAGCCTGGGTTACCCCAGGTGTGTTTTGCTTTTCTCATGCCCAGAATTCTGTGATATGACTCACAGACTTGCTGTGTGATATTTGTAACCACATCTTCATCCTGGATGTCTTGGGTGGAACTAGCGGACCCCTTCCTTGCCATAAAATCGACAGTTATAAATGAGTAGTCCTGGTAAAGCACTTTGAAATCCTATCACTGAAGACTCAATAAATGCCAATGTTACCAGGCAGCACCAACTTAAAAAAGAAAACCTCTAGCTACTGTTCTTAGTTTAATGGAGCTTAGAGAAACACTCTTATATATATTTTTATATGTGTGTATATGTGTGTGTGTGTGTGTATAGTTGTAGTATTTGATGTGTTTAGGGGGTCTGTGCAACCTTGTGCAAGCAGCTGAGAGCATCACTAACTTTCATGTCACTGGTGCAACTGGCGTCGGATGGTCCGACTCGGTTGGTGTTAGTGTTTGCAGGGTCGCGTCCTAAACTTATGCAGTTGAATAATCACAGCATCTGTACTACCAGATCATTTCACATAGTAAACATAGGGCAGGATAAAGCAGTGTGATAACAATAATCATCTGTAGATGTGGCAAAGTCTTTTTTTTTCCTTCTAGAACCACTGCTGAGTTCTGAGAGCAGCCAGATGTTCAAAAATGTAATATTATTTTTAAACATATGGGTTGGCATTTTGAAATACCATAAAATAACCTGAAATTCAACTCTGCAGTAAGGAACTAAAACATTTTGACCTTTTTTATGAAGTAACTTAAATGGACCATTAGAGAATAAAAGAGTAAATAAAAACAATGCCTGCATGTTAAGAAGGGAAACCCTTTATCAAATTAGAGAGCACTTTCTAATTTTTTTCCTGATTTTAAAATAAAAAAGAACTTGGGTTAACACATTTTTGTAAGGGATAGACTACATAAATTCTTGTTTCTTTGCCATGAGCTCCTGTGGCATGTTGTGGATATTAAATAACTATTGTGCTTTAGCCTGATGAAAAAGTTAACAGTTGAAGAAATAATTATCTCTATATACCAGTTAAGTTTTTCCTGAGGTTCTAGGCTTACATATTAAAGATTGTTGTAGGAAGAGCTGTTCAAATGCAGTAAATGCACTGTTTCAAACTGTAATTGTATTTTATTGCCCAGGCTGAAGATGAAATTGCTGTTGAATCTCCTTCTTCCCTTTTTAGATCATGTCTCCATTGGAGGGCTTGGGGATAGCTTTTATGAATATTTGCTCAAGGCATGGCTGATGTCGGACAAGACAGATGAAGAAGGCAAGAAAATGTATTATGATGCTGTTCAGGTAAATAAAATATTTTAATATTCCTTTCCATAATAATCTAATCTGTAATAATCCTAAAGAGACACGCTCTGAGCACAATGTGAGGGATTTATGTCTTTGCCACCACAGTGTGGTTTTTTTAAAAAATTAGTTTCTCTTTTAAAAAGACTTCATCAAATGTAAACGCTAGAGGAATACAGAATCTGTGGGAAAGGGGAGAGTCTTGAAGTATAGCTCTTTTTTTTCCAACTGAAAGACAGTCAGTTCTCTCTGATACTGGAGGAGAAAAGTATAAAATATGCAACAAAAAATGCATCTATAAGTAGCTGTCAGATAGAAGTTCAATTCTTTTTTCCTCAGTTTCCCTAAATGTATTCCTTCTGTCCTTTTTCCTTATATCAGGAGGGAGTTCCTCTCTTGTGTTTCCACCTTATATTTCAGCCATTAGAGTATTTTGATTGTGGTTGAGACAGGGATCAATATATTATGGTAGATAATTACAAATGAAAATAGAAATTTTTGTTGCACAATGACTTTTTGTTGCAAGAGGCATATATTTGCCAGCTTCTGTGAAACTGCCAATTATTCAAACTGGACACAAGAGAAAGTTTTCAAAAATCAGAATTGTTCATACTTACATTTGTATGTGGTATTTTATTTATGATCCTTCTAGTCAGCAATTTGCTTTGTTATTGGTGGTCTTTCCTTAATACACTGTTTTGGGAGAAATAATGGTTTTGTGACACTGGATTGAGACTCAGGAAGTATTAAGTTTGAATCAATATTTACAGTCTTGGGCAAATGACCTGTTTTCTCGGTTCTTTGCTTTCAAATATATATAAAAAAGGAGATAATATTACTTCTTTTTTCCCCATCCTTTCATCTGTTTTGACTGGAAGCTCTCTAGGGCCAGGACTTCTATCTCGTATTAACTGTATGTATCTACAGTGCCTCTGTAGACAAGGCTTCGAGATGCTAAGCGATATCTGCTTATTCTTTCATACATCTGGAAACGTGCTGTGTGTAAATAGGGAAGAGACATAAGTCTCCTTTTACTTCCCACACTGAAAAAAAAGTGGTGGCATTAAAAAAATACAGCCCTGGCTCATTGCAGCTATTTTTTTTTTCATTAGAGAGAAAAGTCATATGTGGTGATTTGAGGGTGGGTGTGATCTCTGGTGGTAGTAAATTTGACGACCAAGTATCCTTTGCTAAGAAGATCCTGCCTTTAATTTTGTAAGTGCAGATTTGGATGCGGTCAGCCTCATTTTCACCACTAATATTGTTTTAGCTTCAGAGCAAAAGGTGGATTTTAAATTAGGTTTGAGTGCATTTGAGGCTATAACATAAGAACAGTGATACTATAATAGCTCAGCCATTAGGTTGGCAGCCAAAAAGAGAGAACAAAGTGTCTGATAATACGATATCAATTCATCTTGCTGTGGAAGGCATTTTGAAGCACCTCAAAGCTGCTTCAGTCTTCTACTTCCACTGGTTTAATAATGTCAGGTTTTTCTTTTAAATACATTCTTGCACAGGGTAAGCGCTAATGCATAGACGTGTGCCATAAAAAATGTGCTTTTGCTAGTACAGCCATTCTGGAAACCGCTGCAGGTAGAATATCCCAAACGTGGTCTGACGGTCACCCTTGTCAGTGGGACCGTGAGTGCATTGACTCCCGTCCTGCCGGGGAGCAGCAGGGGCGCATTGATCCCAGCTGATAACAGAGAGTCCGAGAGAGCCCAGCGTCTCGATGGCCGGCGCTGGGCTGCTCCTACTAAGGCTGAAGGTTCACCTTCCCGGACTTGAGCACAGCTGGAGTGAGGTACATCAGGAAGTCTCTCTTGCCTTACGCCACACGAGCGGGTGTGCCATCACGCGTCAGCTGCACGGTGGCAGCGTGCCTGGGTCACTCCTGAGCCAGCCCAAACTGCCCAGCGGGTGGAAAGCTGCCTGCTGTTGGCTGGTCATCGGGGAAGAGGGCCAGGAGTGCTCTGAGGTATGTCTGTATGGGGTGCAGCAGCAGCATGGCTTTGTTTAAACTCACACCTTAGCCATACCGGGATAACAACCTCCTCAGGTACGAAAGTTGTCGCAGGCCTCCTGAGGTCCTGGTGGGGAGCAGAAGTGGTGATGGCCACCACACTGCATGGCCGGTTCTTCATGCTCGGATTTCAGCTGGAGGAGCAGAATTGCCTGGTCAGCAGCATCACTGAATGTGGCAATATCGATGATGGGGTCTGAGCTCTGCTGTATATGACTAGATTTATTTTCTAATAGTACTAGCTCTTAAGCAGTCCAAGCATCATGCTTCTCCAGAGTATCGGTGTTTCAGAGGGCCAAATGATCACTAAATATGTGCTAGATTTCGCCGTGCCCCTGCTTGAATGCTATTTCCAGTATTTTCTGAGCATGGCGTTCATGTTCTCTGTTTTCTATACTGAGGTACATTTGTACCAAAGCTGAAAGTGTACATGCAGCATGTGGAGGTACAGCTTGATGTTGTAATGTAGCTTGTTCAGAAAATGGCAGGGAAGTTGCAGTCTCACAGAAACTTCAAACTGGTTGGGCCCCACTGAGATGCTACGTTCTTGACTGGAGTAACTAGCCTGTTTTGAAATCCATCCTGATATTGGCTTTATTGCTATCGATCCCTTACTTATCTAAATTAAAGGTAATTTAAGCGTCTGCACAAGCTGCAGTCTTTCTTTATGACTAAGCCTACACGGTTTGGGCATTCTGAGTCTGCTTCGTATTTTCTTAGATAAATTTCCCCCGATGCTTTCAGAATCTTTTTAAGACTATGCCAAAGGGAACGGCGTGATTATTCCTGGCCATTCAGTACAGCACATACCCACCAAATTCTGAAAGAGCGATGTGAAGGTTTGATGCCTAATTCAATATCTTCCGCTATCCTGAAACCACAAATGAAAATATACGGTGAGTTATAGTTCACTGTGAAAAGCTGAAATTTATTTAGATAAAGCTTTGGGGTTATTTCTTACGTTGTTCTGTAACTCATATTAGAAACAAAGAGTTCCTTCTACTAGAAGGAATATATAGTAGCACCTATAGATTGTTTTATGGCTTAAGTTAAAAGCAATAACTAAGATGTCAAATTAGATTTAAAAAGTTTTTCTGCTTGCCATGAATAAGATGCGTATTTGACTGATGCCATTTAAAGAAGAGTTTATTTCTAATGGGAAAAGGGACAGAGATAGTCTTGTTTTGAATACCAGAGCATAATATATTTATAAGGCTGTCAGAGGGATTCATAAACTCTAGAATTTGCACAAAAAGACAAGTGAATGTATTTTTAATGTAAGTTATTTTTCTCTTTTGAAAAGCAATGCATATAATGTCCTGTTTCACATAATACAGGAAGTAAGAGATCTTCTTAAACTGATTTCAATGGATAGCATGCAACATTTAGTTACAGAACAAACGTGTATTTAGATTTTAGTTATATTTTGAAGATGTAACTGGCCATAGAATAATCTATCTGTCTTTGCAAGTATCCAGGACAGGAACCATCCCACTCTCTTCAGTTCACACAGCTGATCTCCAAGACACAACTGAGTAGATTTAGTAAGAGAACATGATAATTTAGAGCAAAAATGGAGCTTCTGGGTTCACTTATGTCTAGTCTAGCAACAGCGGTGTCACAAGCAACTGCATCAAATCCTCCCCTCTTGAATGTGTCAGCCCTCATTTTCTAAGTTGAAGGGCAATTCGCCCACCACTCCTGTTAGTACGTTGTCTCACACTTGACGTCCGATGGTTCGGTATCTTTTCCAAATTTTCCGATTACATTTGTTTCTGGCCATTGCTGCAAGCTTTCTGCATCTTAAGTATTTCTTCTCTCTCTTTGGCGCTGCCTTCATCCCCTCCTCAGTGTATTTCTTGAGAAGTGGCATATCTAAAGATGGCTGTAAAGAGAGCAGTAACTCGGCCCAGACGAACTTCACAGGAAGAGGGAGAATCCCTCCCCAGCACTTCCCGAGCAGCTCGGTTCAGTGCAGCCCACGGTGGCCCCATGGTATCAGAGAGGTAAAGCCGCTGCGATCTGCAGTTTTAGCTTTAGACAGGGTAGTTTACTTTTAGACATTTAGATTGTTTAATTTTTCTTACTGGGTAACAACTGCTCGGAAGGTTGTAACAAGAAAACTAGTGATCTCCGGAGAACCTAGCACATGGAAGTAGAAACAGTGGAAATAGCAAAAAGAAGAATAGGTGTTGTAAAGCAGTGCCACGGCTGTTCTCTGCCAGATTTCAACGGCACTCCTGAAAGTCAGCCTGCTGCTAGGCTGGGTTGCGCGATTAAGGAATGCAGTAACCTTCTGTGGGTATCAAAAGGGGAAAAAGTCATTTTTGGCCTCAGGATTTTGAGTATTGAGACAGAAAATATGTAGGTCACTTTTTAATTTTTTATAATTTTTGGGGAGGCACATTGCTAACTTCTGAGGCTAGCCTTGATATACTCTGTACTCTGCCAAAGGAAGCTATATGGTTTTGATTTTGTTTTGGGGGTTTTTTTGGTATATTTAATTGTCAGCATTAAGTAGTGAATATTTTTCAGAGCTGTCAAGATTTCAGCCTTTCAGATAAATAAAACAAATCCATGTAGACTCCTTTCTCATTGAAATGAGGGAGAGAACAAAGTGTTGTTAGCAAACTGAAAACATGATATTGGCAGATAGGCCCTTTTCATCTCCAGAGTTTCATGAGGGTCTGTTTAACTGTGGTGACAGTCTGGTGGCTGGTCTGTGCTGATTGCAGTTTCCATTAAGTTGCTGGAAGCGGTTTGCTTTGTGGTCGTAGTAATCTTAAAAACTACATAACTGATGTGGGCAATGACAGAAGTGCAACAACTCAGTTAGAACAGTTTGTCATACTGGGCAAAGGCAAAAGTATATTAACGAGTTGAACATTCAGTCCTTGAGCTCGTCTTGGCATTGAAGGAAATAGGTGAATAGGGCAGGCAGGGTGGTGCAATAGGTGCCCATCTTCAGAATGAAACA